TCCTCCTCCTCCTCCTCCTCCTCCTCCTCCTCTTCCTGCTCCTCCTGCTCCATTCCTTTTCCTCATGAATAATTCCTCCCTGTCGCACCCCGAGGCTGGTCAGAAGGGCAGACCGGGCGTTTCGACTGAGAAGTCCTTACCATTTATGAGCCTGAAGCGTAGGAACTGGCAACAGTTTCACACATGGAGCGCGGATGGTTTTCAACATGCGGCTCGCGCCGTAACGCCGCGCACAATCCTTTAAGAATTTCACGGGTAGGGGGCGGGCCATTCTCAACATGTGGCTCTCGCCTTGACGCCGCGCGCAATCGTCTTAAAAAGCTGCAAGAGTTTCACGGACTGATGGCGGGTCGAAGATGTGGCTCTCGCCATAGCGCCGCGCACAATCGTCCTGAAACAATGCAAGTGTTTCACGGATTGAGGGCGGATCCTTTTGGAAATGTGGCCCTCACCTTAGCGCCGCGCAATGTCTTAAACGACTGCAGAGTTTCTCGGATTCTTATGGTTAAGTTGTGTTTTCGAGCGGTTCAAGATTGTCCAGGCGCAACAGTTACGTTCATTCGCGGCGTTGAAGAAGACGCAATGGTCAGGTTGACTCGTGGCGTTGAAATCTTAAGAATTGTGTTTGTGCACGCTTCAATATTTTTCATACGGCTGTCTCCCAACGGGGCAGGTCCCTCAGTGGAAGTGAATCCTCGTAGGGGGCCTGTGAAGAGGGAACTTGGAGGGAGGGTGTATCCCAACATCGTGGCTGATTCTTGGGTTTGCACTGGTCCTCCGCCTCCTCCTCCTCCTCCTCCTCCTCCTCCTCCTCCTTCCCTTCCTCCTCCACCGCTGGAAGCCTTGTGGACCTCTGGACGTCCTCAAAGACTGTTTGCTCGGAACACGCTCGGGAAGTCCGCCTGGGACACCCTGAAACCTTGAAGACCTCGGAAACCTTCTCCTCCTCGTCCTCCTCCTCCTCCTCCTGGTAATCCTCCTCCTCCTCCTCCCCTCCTCCTCCTCCTCCTCCTACTCCTCCTCCTCCTCCTCCTCCTCCTCCTCCTTCTCCTCCTCCTCCTCCTCTTCCTCGTCCTCGTCGTCGTCGTCCTCCTCCTCCTCCTCGGCGCGGCAGGCCTGCAGCCCACGCGCCCGCCACGCACAGCGCCGTGGGTATGGTTCCCAGCGAGAAGATCATCGTCATCACCTGCGCCGCCGGGACGCCGTCCCTTGAGGAACGGGGCGGTGGCGCCGGGGCGCCGAGCATTCGCAAACCGGATCGGGAAGAAGCTTGGCGATTCAATGCGTGCTGTAAGCGAGGCGAAGCGAAACGAACGCCGGATCCGCGCGCGCGCCGCGTGGGCGCCCGCGAGCGCCCGTCAAGGCGTGGCGGTGGAGGCGGTAGCCTCGAAATGGGAAACAGCAACTTGGTGCCGTGAAGCACAGGCGGCTTCATCACCAATCAGGATGTGCGGCAGCCCGGATCCATCGCAAGGAGGGCGGGGGAGGAGTGCCACAACGGGAAGCGACGCTCGGACGTCCATTCCCCTTGCGTTTCTCCGCCTCGTGCGTGCGTTTTTCGCCAGATGATCTAGGGTGTTCCTCGACGGTCCCCGCCGAGAACAAGTGCACTCGTTCGAGCGATGCCAAGACAAGGAGAGCGGACACGAAGAGCAAGGAGCCGCACATCGCCGACGAACGAAGCACGCGACCAAGCCTATAGAGTATGCGCGCCGCCGTCGGCGGGCACGTGGACCGAACGAGTTCGATCGTCCGTCGGGGAGAAGTCGTGACACATGTTTTTTGCCTCATGGCTTTTCGCTGCTGAGGTTTCGATAACAGAGGCCAGGAGGCAACTGCTGGGAGGTCTTCGTCGGAGTGATTCAGAAATCTGAAACCCCATTGGGGGGCTGTTACGCTGGACTGGGCCTCGGAACAGGCGGGACTAAGCCCGATCAAACGGGATCTAGCCGAATCAAGCGGAATTGAGCCGGATCAAGCCGGATTTCGGACCACGGCACAGTCGGAATTTTACCTCCCAGGAGTTGCATCCGACCAGAGGCAAGCAAAACGAAACCTCCGGAGGGCCCCCCCAAACTGGGACGGGGAGCCCGAGGCCGCCTCCCTTGATCGGCTGGCCCGGCAGCCGTTTCGCCTGAGGCTTCCTGACGCCCTATTCGGGAAACATGCTCTCGCCTCAGTGCCAACTGGATTTTTGGTCCAGGCAGCCACGATCCCACGTTAGAAACTCCGCCACCGTGCATTCAGCACGCGGTGGAGCGCCCCAAGGCTCACGCAGTTCTGAACGGTGTATCTGTTAAGGACCCAGACCACGAAATTCCCGGGCGCTCACGGGTGCGGCCAGGCGCTCTCAGGGTGTTCCGCGTAGGCCTCCAGCACGGTACCACCACCCAGGGAGGCCCCGAAACGGGCCAAGGCAGCCCTGAGAAGATCCCAGGAGGATCCGAGATCCCTCCGAGATGGCCCCCAAACTTCCTAAGACGTCCAAGACGGCCTCAAGACGGCCGAAGAAACATTCGAGACGCCCCATGAGAGCCCCATGAGCTTTCCCAAGAGGGCCCCGAACGGCCCAAACCATGTTAAAAAATTATATTTGAGTGTTTTTTTGGTTCTCCAGTTTTCGAGCGTCCGACGCTCCAAGACGTCCCAAGAGGCCCCAAGACCGCCCCAAGACGGTCTCAGAAGCTCCCAAGAAGGCCACGAGACGGCCCAAGAAGGTCCCAAGAAGGTCCCAAGACGGCCCAAGAGGCGCCCAAGACGACCCAAGATGGCCCCAAGACGGCCCCAAGAGGGGGAACACGAACCGAAAATCCGAGCCTTCCGCCCCAAGGGGCGCCCAGGAGGCCCCGAGAGGCCCCCAAGAGGCCCAAAAGAGGCTCCGAGAGGCTCCAAAACAGCCCCGCAGAGGCTTCAACCCTGCCTCCAGGATGCCCGGAGAGGCCTCGACGAGATCCCAAGTAAGCCGACCTCCTGCCCCCTGGCGCGCCTCCTCCCGTTTGCTGCCATCCGGGTGTCTTGCTGGGGTAGGTCTGCCTGTCGCTCTTCTCGGACTCTCTGGGAGCTCTCGCCAGGCCCCGGGGCCATCTGCAACGAACTAGAGGCCTCCTAGATGGGGTCGGAGTAGATGGGGTCGAAGGATCGCGCCGCATCGCCGATACATCGCCGATACATTGCCGATGCATCGGCGATGCATCGGCGACGTCGGCGATGCACCGGCGACGCCGGCGTGGAGAAAATCGGGCTCCACATCGCGCCGCATCGCTGATGCATCGCCGATGCATCGGCGATGCGGCGCGATCCTCCGACCCCATCTGCTCGGACCCCATCTAGGAGGCCTAGACGAACGGCTCCGAATGAGAAGCCCGTCCGGGGAAGCGGGTCGACCTTCGGGGGGGGGGTCCACGCCGTGCGAAGGTCGTGACGTCGCGGGGCGCCAGGCGCACGGGCAAGCCGCCCGCAGCTCTCTCGGCTCTCGTCGCCGCTGCCCGCCCGCCCCCCGAGGGTCTGCGAGAGGAGGGCCCGCGGAGGCCCTCTCGGCGGCCCCTGACGTCTCCCCGACGGGCGACACAGGCCCAGGAGCGTACAAACACGGCCGCAGCAGTCCTGCACGCTGGCTCCAGGTCGATCCAAGGCGGATCCAGATGGCGACCAGATGGTCGAGGAGCCCTTCAGCACAGCCCAAGACGAGCCCGACGGGGACGTCTGGAGGCCTGGAAATTGGCACCAACACCAACACAGGGGGTTGCCTCCACAGGGGAAAATGATCCCAGATTTCGGTGTTGGTGGTAACATTTCGGTCACCTCGGAAGCCGGAGTATGACCACCATCGCCGAGATCGGGGTCTTCTTCCCTCGCTGGAGGCACGCCGTCGATAGTGGTGTTGGTGTCAACCTCTAGGTCTGCGAGACGTGCCTCAAAGCCCCCAAGGGGCGAACATCACAAAGCTTCCTTCGGTTGTTGTGTGTTTGACACGTGGCGGCCTGCCCGGTCCTCAGAGCGTCCGAGACGGCTCCAAAGGCGCCCAAGATGGAGGGTGAAATGGGGGGTCGGGCGCAGGGTCCCAGGAATGGTGTCTTTATGGGCCATGAATGGGCGATGCATCCTCGATTGCTGTGTTCGGCGGGGGAACCAATTGAAACTCCCCGCCTGCACCCATGCGCGAGGCCATGAACGATCTTGGTAAGATCGTTCCAATGCGGCCTCCGCCGCCAGGGGCGGCTGCCGCGGACAGCGGGGCCGAGGGCAGCGGAGACCCCCGAGGACCTCCAGAGACGGCCGCCCCGTGCGAGCGGGCATCCCATCGGCAGCTCTCTTAGCGGCCTCTCAAATGGGGTCCCAGTTTCTAAGGTCGGAGGGTCGCGCAGCGTCGCCAATGCCTCGCCAATGCCTCGCCGATGCGTCGCCGATGCATCGGCGCCGTCGGTGGAGAGAACATCGGGCTTTACATTGAGCCGCATTGCCGATTAATCGGCGATGCGGCGCGACCCTGCGAGCCCATCTACAGTAGGAGCTCGACCACAAGGACACCTTCCACAAGAAACCCGATCCTGAGACCCCAGGTCGTTCATTGATTTTGGTTGTGGGAACGCCACGCTTTCCATAGCAAAACCATCGAAGCCCAAGACACCCAGGGCACCCTGGAGGCAAGCAGGGTGTTCCTTGGCATGGGTTTCCACTGTACTCGGACCCCCAGCTAGGAGGAGGAGGAGGAGGAGGAGGAGGAGGAGGAGGAGGAGGAGGAGGAGGAGGAGGAGGAGGAGGAGGAGGAGGAGGAGAAGGAGGAGGAGGAGGAGGAGGAGGAGAGGAGGAGGAGAGGAGGAGGAGGAGGAGATGGAGGAGGAGATGGAGGAGGAGGAGGATGGAGGAGGAGGAGGAGGAGGAGGAGGAGGAGGAGGAGGAGGAGGAGGAGGAGGAGGAGGAGGAGGAGGAGGAGATGGATGAGGAGGAGATGGAGGAGGAGGATGAGGAGGAGGAGGGGGAGGAAGAAGAGGAGGAGGAGAGGCCTGGATCTCTCACGACCGCAGAGTCAGCTTGTCCTCTCGTGCGCCCGCCCTCAGATCTGCTCTCCGTAGCCGCGCACCCACCGTGCGGGCACGCCCTCTCGAGCAGTCTGTCCGGAGGCCTCGCCGAAGAAGGGGGGGGAGAATCAGGCCCTGACCGCCTCGCGCCGCGGCAACACTCACGAGGGACACTTGTTGGGCCGTTTCCTCCGGGACCCCAGAGCCGTGGGGTGACGGACGGGTCGGGTGGTGACCTCGGAACCCCTCGCGGCCTCACCGCGCGTCGCCGCACGGTCTCGAGACCCTGGAGGCCCCAGTCGCCCGAGACGTCGTCGGAGAACCGCCCGAGTCCCGAAACCGCGTGGTGGCCTTGGATCTAGAAGAACAGTAGCATAAACATGAACTTTCGAAGCTCCACGCGGATTTCGTGGATCCGCGCTGGAACCCCCCTCCATGGCGCGCGGAGCGCGCCAGAGGCGGCGCCGGAGGCGCCGCTGGGGGGGCCCAGCGCGGATCCAAGAGATTTGCGCGGAGCGCCAAAAATGTATGTTCTCTGCGGTGTTTTCTTCTTCGAGAAGCCGCGCGGTGACCCAGGATCCCCGCTGACTCGCCACGCGGTCTGGTCACCACGCCGCCTGGGGGCCCCCAGCCTTTCGCCCCTGGGGGCCCTTTGCCCTGGGCCCCGAGGGGCCGGCAGAGGACACGGCCTGGATGCGAGGAGCGGGCCCCCCCGGCGGAGGGGTCCGGGACTCTGGGGGCACGCCGGTGCGAAGGAATGACGACGCAGGAGCTCTGGTTTTTTCTTGGTAGTTTTTTTGGAGTTAGGGAAAAAGTTCGACATATTTAAATTGTATCACAACAAACAAAAAACAACACACAACACTCCCCGCACTCGCAGCGCGCCGGGGCTGCAGATTGCGCAGATAGCTGAGCAGAGCGCACTCGGCCCCAGAGATGTCAGCCTCGCGCTCGCCAGATGCATCATGGCTCGCTGCATGTGCGCGGACGAGGGATGGGGCAAGGGAGCGTGCTGAGAGAAGGTCGGGCGAACTCTGGGAGATACCATGGCTCCGGCCATGGTATCCACACCCCCCTAGTCCTCACCCCCCTTCATCTGGACACCCCCGAAGGGAGGGGGAGGGGGGCATGGAGAGCCTTGAGTGGCACGCCTCCGAGGAGGAGGCCCAGAAGAAGAAACCTTCGGAATTCCGCGCGGATTTGTGGGGTCGGCGCTGGCCCCCCCGCCCCCCTGGCGGCGCGCTCCGCTCTTGGCATGCTGCCCGTTCCTTCTTCATGGGCAGCGGCCCGCGCAGACTTTCGCCGCGCTGGGCGACGCGAGGGGGGCGCCGCAAGAGGGTCCGGTCGGGGCGCCTCGCCCCAGTTGTTGTACAGCCTGGCGCGCGCGGTGCGACCCTTCCCCTCGCCCCCAATCCTCCTCCCCACCTCCTCTTGCCCCTCCCCCTCTCCTCTGGCTCCGCCTCGTCCACGTCGTCGTCGTCGTCGTCCTCCTCCTCCTCCTCCCTCTCCTGCGCCCCGTTTTATTATAAGTGACTCCATGTCGCACCCCCGAACCTGTCGGTAGGGCGGGCTGGGCGTTTCACCTGAGATCTTCTTCAAGATGTGGCTCTCGCGTTAGCGCCGCGCGCACTCGTCACAAAAGTTTGCAACATGTTTAAGGATGGAGGGCGGATCCTTTTCAAAGTGTGGTTCTCGACACATCGCCGCGCACATTCGTCTTAAACGTTTGCGGCCACTTCACGGATGAAGGACGGGTCCTTCCCAAAATGTGGCTCTCGCCTTTGCGCCGCGCGCAGTCGTCTGAAACGTCTGCGACAACTTCACGGATGAAGTGTGTGCTCTTTTCTAAATGTGGCTCTCGCCTAAGTGCTGCGCACATTCGTCGTGAACTTTGCAACGGTTTCACGGATGCAGGGCGTGCCGTTTTCAACATGTGGCTCTAGTCTCAGCGCTGCGTACATTAGTTTTCAACGTTTTCAACAGTTTTAAAATGTTCTGACGCTGTTTTAGACTGTCAGGAGGCAAAAGTCACGTTGACTGTCATTGGAAAAGCATTGCGGCACGATTGAGGAATGTCAAGCTGCAACAATCACGTTGGTCCGCGGCGCTGAAGTCCCAATAGCGGTGTTCTGGCACGATTCAGGATTCTCAAAAACTGTTTTCTAATGGGCCAGTTTCCGTAATGACACTACATGGTAAAGACAAGTGAAAAAGGGAACTTGGGAGGGGGGGGGTATTGCAACATCATTGGTGAGGTTGCACTTGTCCTCGTCCTCCTCCTCATCTCTTGTTCCCCGTGTGAACGGAAGTTGACGACCTGAGAGTCGAACCTGGCGTATGATCCGTAGGTAGAGGATAAGGAGGATGAAAGATGGAGATCTTTTATCCTCGCGCCCGACGGGCAGCGGGCACAGAAGTATTCTGTAGGATATCCAAAATAATCCAGTACCTGAGCCGAGAGGATAGCAGGATCGATGGATAGAAGGGGGAGGGGAGCGGCCGTCACATACACACACCCTTCACCTTCTGGAAGCGATCGTCCGACTTTCTTCATTGTGTGCTCTGGTTCTCTCTCTCCCTGCCCCCCGCTCGCCTCTCCCGCTTCCGTCCCCCACCTCCCCCCTCCCTCCCCCAATCCTCCCCTCCTCCCATCCCCTCCCCTCCCCCTCCTCCTCCTCCTCCTCCTCCTCCTCCTCCTCCTCCTCCTCCTCCTCCTCCTCCTCCTCCTCCTCCCTTCTTCCTCCCCCCTGATCCTCTCGTCCACCTCCTCTTCTCCTCTCCTTTCCCTTCTCCTTTTCCTCGTCCTCCTTCGCCTCCGTCTCCTACTCCCTCCTCCTTCCTCGTCCTTCCTCCGCCCCCCTCCACAAGTACACACTCTGAATACTACTCTCCTTTCTCCCGTGAATCTGTCCTGAGAGTATTTGCCTCCACCCCTAATTTTTCTTTGGATTTGAGTGAGTTTTTTTCCCCAATTAGGCTTGCAAAAGGGCTCTTACTCGGTTAAAGGTTGGTGCCTCTTATTATCACGTTGCCCGTTCCTCGGAGGTTCCTCGGGTTCCTCGGTTTCCCCGCCCCCCAGCGCCTCCTATCTTCACGTTGCCCGTTTCCAGGAGGTTACTCGGGTTCCTCGGGTTCCCCGCCACAAGTGCCTCCTATTGTTACTTTGCTCGTTGATCAGAATTTCCCGGGTTCCTCGCCCCCGAAGCCTCATATTGCTACGTTGCCCGTTCCTTGGAGGTTCCTCGGGTTCTCCGGGTTCCTCGGGTTCCCCGCCCTGGTTGTTGGTCTTGTTTCCCAGCAGTGCCAGGTAACGCCAGGCAACGTCAAGCAACGCCAACCAGATCAAAGCAGTGCAAAGCAACGCCAAGCAATACCAAGCAACGCCAAGCAACGCCAAGCAATGCCAAGCAATGCCAAGCAATGCCAAGTAATGCCAAGCAATGCCAAGCCGTGCAAAGCAACGCCAAGAAATGCCTAGCAACGCCAAGCAATGCCAAGCAACGCCAAGACATGCAAAGCGACGCTAAGTTATGCCAAGCAGCGCCAAGCAATGCAAGCGACGCGAAGCAATGCCAAGCAACGCCAAGCAATGGCAAGCAATGGCAAGCAATGGCAACCAGTGCAAAGCATTGTCAAGCACTGCAAAGCAACACCAAGCAATGCAAAGCACTGCCAAGTAATGCAGTACAATGGAAAACAAAATAATGTAGTGCCAAACAATTCTAAGCAACACCGCTTAGGAATCGCTTCCCTAATTGGGGTCGCGCAGGCATTGCTTGGCATTGCTTTGGGCACTGGGGGCGGTGAACCCGAGGAGCCTAGGGAACCCGACGAACACAGGGAACCCGAGGAAACTCGGAGGAACGGGCAACGTAACAATAGGAGGCACCAAGGGCGGGGAACCTGAAACACCCGGGGAACCCGCTTGGCAGTACTTGGCATTGCTTTGCATGGGTTGGCATTGCTTGAACCCGAGGAACCTCAGAGGAACGGGCAACGTAACGATAGGAGGCAACGGGGGAGGAGAACCCGAAGAATCCAGGGAACCCGAGGAACCTCTGGGAAACAGGCAACGTAACAATAGGAGACACAGGGAGCAGGGAACCCGAGGAACCCGAGGAACTCTGAGGATTGGGCAAAGTAAGAATATGAGGCATCAACCTTGGACCAAATAAGAACCCTTTAGGTCAGTTTAATGGGGGAATGACCCTGGAACGAATTCGACGACATGAACTCTGGGCGCCCGCGAGTCTGGTGTGATGGCGGCGGGAAAATGGGGAACCCGGGGAACCTCCGAGGAACGGGCAATGTAACAATAGGAGGCACCAGGGGCGGGGAATCCGGGGAACCCGAGGAACCTCTGAGGAACGGGCAAAGTAACAAAAGGAGGCACCAACCTTGAACCAAATAAGAAACTCCTCTTTCCTATCGGGCTTCTGTGTCCGCTCTCTTGTCTCTCCTCCCCTCCTTTCTGCTTTGAACTTTCGCGGGGAAACGTGTGCAACGGGGGTTGATACGCGCTTGAGGGGCTACGCTCAGGGCCCTAACTCCGGCTTTGCCGCTGCCCCTCTCACATCCTGCTACGGTCCGCACAGACAGCTTACGGCCGATGCCAGAGGGGCCATCTAGGAGGGGCCTCACCTCCCCCTGAGGGGGAGGAGGACCCTCAGGACCCCCACCAGAACCACCAAGAACACCAGGACGTCCAAGAGCATCCTCGACAGTCGATCCTCCCTCCTCCGCGATCCCCGACCTTCGGGGGGAGGTGGCTCTCCCCCCTCCTCCCTCCTAGCGGTGACCCCCCTTGGCACTGTCTGAGTGATCTCTCCTCGGAGCGCCCACAGTGATCTCTCCATGGGACCAGAGTTAGCGTTAGGTCGGGCAGGTCCTCCTACAGCCGGATATTGGACGACAAATAAAAATAAAACAATATTCAAAAATGTATCAAAAAATCGAAACATCGTCCCCAGACTATTTTTGGACTAATTTTGAATATTCCTCCTGTAGAGGGACAGGCCCGACTCGAACCTGGACCCAGGGAATGGGCAGAAAGTCAGAGCGCCTCCCGAGCCCGAAGTGGCTGTGAGACCCGCGTCCTGACTGCATAGACCCTAACGGAGGCCTCCCCAATGGGGTCCGAGTAGACGGGGTCGGAGGATCGCGCCGCATCGCCGACGCATCGCCGATGCACTGGCGCTGCACCGACGATGCATCGCCCACGTCGGCGACGCATCGGCGACGTCGGCGTGACAGAAAAATCGGGCCCCACGTCGGTCAGCATCGCCGATGCAGCCGAAGTGCACCAGCTCGAATCGCTGGAGTCAGTGACTGTAGAGACCCTAAGCTCTCGGAGGCTCTCGCGAGCTTCCCGGGGCAACGCCGGGCGTTTCCGGCCGAGGAGGAGGAGGAGGAGGAGGAGGAGGAGGAGGAGGAGGAGGAGGAGGAGGAGGAGGAGGAGGAGGGGGCGGAGGAGGAGGAGGAGGAGGAGGAGGAGGAGGAGGAGGAGGAGGAGGAGGAGGAGGAGGAGGAGGAGGAGTGACCTCTCCCAGGGGGGCGCTCGCCGTGATCTCTCCCCTCGGCTCCTCTCCGATCCACCTGGACCCCCCTCGCTTCTCCTCGCCCCTCGATCCTCCTCGACCCTCGAGCCTCCTCGACCCTCGATCCCCCTCGACCCTCGACCCTCCTCGACCCTCGATCCCCCTCGACCCTCGATCCTCCCTCGATCCTCCTCGATTCTAGATCCGGCCCCCGCCTTCGTCCACGGCGCCCCCCGTGCGATCTGGCCCGGGACGTCCGCAGGGCCAGGGAGGCTGGGCATGAGAGGAAACGGGGGGGCCCCGAGGGAGGCAGGCCCAGGACCACGGAGACGGCGGTGATGGGCCCGGGACGTCCGCAGGGCCAGGGAGGCTGGGCATGAGAGGAAACGGGGGGGCCCCGAGGGAGGCAGGCCCAGGACCACGGAGAGGGCGGTGATGGTGGCAGTGGCGGTGGTGGCGGCGGTGGTGACGATGAGGCTGATGACAACGCCGACGACGACAACGATGATGATGATGACGACGATGATGACGATGATGACGATGATGATGGCGATGACGAGGATTATGATGATGATGATGATGATGATGATGATGATGATGATGATGATGATGCTGATGCTAATGATGAGGATAATGATGATGCTGCTGATGATGAGGATTATGGTGCTGAAGATGACGATGATGATGATGATGATGGCAATGATGATAATGGTGGTGATGATGATGCTGATGACGATGATGACGATGCTGGCAATGATGATAGTGCTGATGACGATGATGCCGATGCTGATGATGCCGATGCTGATGATGACGATGATGATGATGCTGAGGATGCTAA